AGGGTTCCTTCAAACCCCCTACAAACAAGTACCAAACTAGAATGAACAGGATACCCCAATTGCTTATTTAAATTGATCTTGGGACTATAGGATTTAGATTTATATAGGCTTTACAGATTAGGCCAAATAGGGGTTCTATAATCACTGTGTTGTAAACATTTGGTTGATGTTTTATTTGTTGTATTTGCTGGTAACCAAGATAAGCATCTAGAGTGGCTGGTTACTACCATACCAATTGTGCCCTACTGCAAATATGAGCATATCTTGCTTGACAGTTTGGTGATCTCTCTCTCTCTCTCTCTCTCTCTCTCTCTCTCTCTCTCTCTCTCTCTCTCTCTCTCTCTCTGTGTGTGTGTGTGTGTGTGTGTGTGTGTGTGTGTGTGTGTGTGTGTGTCTGGTGGGATAGATTCCCTTATGTTCATTAATATGGTTATAACTGGATCCTATCCCTGGGAGCTACTCTTGCTGACACAAGGTAGTAAGAAATACCGTATTCCATGACTTATTGGCAGTTTCTTGAAGTCATTCTTCTTAAAGTATGATTCATTTCTTTGTCTTTCTGTTAGATTGTGTTCTTCTTGAAGTGTGTTATTTCCTGGTGACATGACTTTGAATACTTCCTCAGTTATTTAATCACAAAGCAGTCCATTTGTCACTCACATAGAAACCACTAAGTAAAGCTTGAAAAATCACAGGATGGGGAAAGGGGAGTGGAGGAGAGGACAAATTAAGAGGGACTTGAGCTACTAGAGTGGTGATGGGTGGAAGACGACCCTGAGTAGAAGGGTGTAGACATAGCCAATGTACAATATAGATATGTCAATGTGAGCTCCATTACTTTGTACAATTAATATATAGCAAGACTATAAATTTAAAAATGAATAAAATGGAGGCAAGAAAGAAAAGAAATTCTTTCTAATTCTGTCCTTGTTGATACGACTTTTATCTTGTTTTTCCACTCTTGTGGCTTCTTTGGTTTAGGACAGTCTTCAATCCCTCCCATGTCTTCATCCTTTCTATAAGGGCACTGATTGTTATCTAAGGAAGAGTCATTTTTATTCATTCTCTTGGTTCTTTCCATTTTTCCTACAATATTCTGAATAAGTGCTACTACATTTTCTGTTGTTCTTCAAATCTTCCTCTAGACCTCTGCTGTTATAAGACTTAAGAGCAACTTCCACTGTGTGTGAGATGCAAGTTCTTAAAGTACCATTCACTTTTTTTTCCATTTTATTTTTATCGCAGGAGTAGTTGGACTGATGAAAGTCATACTTATCTTTTATTTTTCTGGATTGGAATCTCTGTAACACTGGTATGCCCAATAGCTGCAGCCCAAAAATTCTGAGGAATACTCCCAATAATTTTATTTAATCTCCTATTTGAAGATGCTTTAGTTTTTCTCCAGTTGAAGTTCCATCAATGGGCATTGCATAATTTTACAGCATTTTAAAGATACAGCAATTTACCACTATTCGTATCTCACTTGGATTCTGCCTTAGGGAGCTCCTGCTACCTGTGGTCTGGCAGGAGTGTTGGATCTGATATATGAATGGGATATCTGTTCTTCTCTCTTTCTTTCTCTGGAACCACTGGGGTTATTTAGCTAATAGAATGTTTGAAAAAGCCTGAGTATCCACCCAAAAGGATGATTTGATTGACAGTTAGGGCAGAGCAATTCCCAGCACTATTTGAAAAAGTTGTGATGACAGAACATAAGTTATTTCTCCATCTTCCTCCTATTTTGTGTGGGGAGGTTAGACTGGGGTTGTTGCCTGCTGAAATCTGTGCATTTGCACCTATCGGGTTCTTTCTGATAAAGTAACACGAAGGCATCTATGCAAAGAACTTCTTCCCATTTTCCTTTTACCTTGTACAACAAATCTCATAGCTAAAGGATGTGATAATCACTGAAGGTCCTGCTTCTCAGTCATTTTCCTCCAGAACATGAAGTATACTGAGACCAACTAGCATTACAAAGGAAGATCTTTCTCCTTTCTTTTCATGGGCTCCTAAGTGAAAACAGTCCAACTCTGAAAGCTGCGATTCAGGAATAAAGTGGAGTTGCTTAAGACATGGAGACAGACAAAACACACTACACAAAACAGTGATTCCTGCAGAAGAGGAACAAAAGAGTAAAACCAGTAGTACCTCATACTTCCTCAAAGCAAGAGACCTTTGGTCAAATGGCCTTGAAGGTACCTGTGTTTGAAACCTAAGAAACCAAATACAATGGGTAGCTCACACAACTAGTCAAATCAAAAGCACATTGAAGCTTAGAAGTTCCACGACTCAAAAGGGTTTTGTGCCAAGGGTAGATTTCCCCCCACTCCCAGAGAAGAAAACCTTGGGAAATCGCCAGAACAAAGAACACTCCTGAAGCTTCAGGTATTCCTCTGGGGTCTGACCAGGTGTGATGTCCCAGCCAATCCACCATGATCACAAGACTCTTGGCTGGTTCACTGTGTTTTTATACAAAACCCAAGGAAGAGTCAGGTGCCTAATATGCCACACAAGCTAAAAATGTAGAGAAATAGAACCTCAAGGAAAAAGTAACAACTGGTAAGGGTGGGGACACAACCTCAAATCCCCCTCCAGCCATGACTGTGGCCTATATAAGAGGAAAGATCACAGGGATATAACTGGTAGCCTCACAAGTTACAAGAAGTTACCAGGGAATCAAGGTTTCCAGAATTCTCAGCACCAGTGGACATCTGGTATACCATTTAGCAATGCACAGTTCTGAAAACTAATCTTGTAAATTCCCTGTGACATGCATATATATATATATATATATATATATATATATATATATATATATCACTATGAGGCACCTAATTGTCCAGCCCACCACCTCTTCGTACAAATCCTTCTTTTCTTGACCACAATCTAAGCATCAAGCTGACTTTTAAAAGTAACATTATAACGTTTTCCTGTTCAGAGCCTTGCAAGTGCATGCTGTTGAAGACACATTGGAACTCTTAGACCTTGGACTCTTACTCATTTGGCTACTCACGCACTTCCAGCTTTGAGGGCTTCCTGCTACTCTTGCAGTTCACTGGGCTTGTTCTGACCACAGGACTTTGTGCTTGCCCATTTCCCTTCCTAGCCATGCTCTGGGGTGGCTTGCACATTACTTTAGCAACTGCATACTTAAGTGTCATCTCTTCAGAGAGCTCACTGGGAAGCTCGTGGAGAAAACACCTCACATTCCATCAACTCTCATGATTTGGCTACTTCGTTTGGACATCGTATCAAGTGCTGATGTATTTTTATCACCCTCATTATATGTAAGCTCTGTAAGAGCCAGTAGTTTGCCACATACTTAGAATAATCTTTGTAGTAAATACTCCATAAAGAGTGATCAAATGAATTAACTAATCATAAGTTACTACTACTATTACAGAAGCTGTAATACATGTTGTAGAGTCTATTTAGTTGATAGACATTATGTAATATCATTTTTTAAAATATGAGCTGAGCAAAACCTTTTATGCATCACATGATTTCATATAAAAATGCAATTTCTGATTTTAGAAAAATTAAGGAATGTTTATATTTGAGGTTCCTTAACAAATAGCACATGATGCTTATCAGACAGAGACTATCCCAGTCCTCACCACTCCTTATGACCTTCTGGCCACCAGTGACTGGCTTGCACTGGCTCCCCCACGGCTTTGTTAAGGTGCCTGGCCCCGTAAGTTTCCAAACCCCTACATTAAGTACATTTGCGGAAAGTCTCCCAACCTTTGTTCCATGTGTCTGTGTAATTATTCATATCCAGTTTAGGAATTAAATCGGTTTTGTGTCCATTCTTCCAATCTCAGTCATAATGAGACACATACTGTAGCTTGCGGTGTCATGTTGGTGACAAAACAATCTGCTGAGCTTGACAAACTCACTTTTGTAAGGCTATTTTTAAAAAACAGTTTTCAAAACCCATAGATTACAAATATTTTTCTTTGTTTTCAAAATATCATGAATATTAGGCCCAGATGTCTTCCTAAAGTGATTCATTTACCAGTGTGGGGTACCCGGTGTCTAAGAACAAAAAAGGCTACATTAATAGATGTTGAAGCCAGATAAAGAGAAATACATGTATAAATAAGGAAAGAGAAAGAACCATGTCCTTTTGCTTGGTACCTGTGTGTTTTAGTGGCGTGAATATTTGCCAAGCTCCTGCTGTATGTCAGACACCATTGGAAGCAACTGAGGAACTCAGACTCTGTCTCACACTCCAGAGAGTCAGACAGCAAAAACTAAACAAGCAATAAAGTAACTTTTATTTGAAATAACAGTTAGTAAGAACTATAATAAAAAGGAATGGAGAGGAGGGTGAAGGGTGTAGGGAGGTCTGGCCAGTGGCTGGAGTAGCAGTGTGATTTAGGTAGGTCCTGTGGGGAGAGGAGATCTGAGTAAGACCTAAAGAAGGTGAGAGGAGACATGTCTATCTTTAATGACAAGACTGTGGGGTAAAGAATGGCATAGACCGAATACCATGTAACAGGCAGACACTTGATGTGTTCAGAGAGCAGTGTGGCTACTCTGGCTGAGTTAGTTAAGTAATCGGACTACTGGTAAAAAACGAGACCTTGAGTAGGCATGATGCTCTCTACAGAGTACTGTCCTGTAGGGGCAGTTCAGTCTTCTCTGCATAAGACTATTTATCTTTTTGTTTAACAAACTCATATTTTAACAATGTCATGACTTGAGGTTTGAGGCTTTATGAAATGCACACATTCTATTTTTTTTTAAAAGGAGCATTAAGCAACTGGAGCCAATGGCCTTGCAGATGAGACCCTGACAAAGTCACCATCTACACACAATGGCCTTGCAAACTGGCTACACTTGTGTTATTCTGAACATAGTCTCCTGTTTTATATATCGGTGCTTTTCAAAGGGTAGTCCTTCACACTGCCTGATATTCACCTGCACTAAGCAGTCAGTTCAGAGGCGGCCTTGGGAGAGCCTCTCTAACAGAACTTTATGTCTCCTCTATGCAGCTGCTTGCAGAAGACTGGCCATTTGGAGTTGAGATGTGTAAGCTGGTGCCCTTCATACAGAAGGCGTCTGTGGGAATCACTGTGCTAAGTCTATGTGCTCTAAGTATTGACAGGTAAGAGTCTACTGGTAGGCCAAGGAGATCCTAAACATCATATAACTGCTATGTTACTTAGGGGGTTAGCTATGCAATTCAATAAAACCGAACTCCATCTGCTTGAAAAAATAACTCTGTTTACATCTTCAGATATCGAGCTGTTGCTTCTTGGAGTCGAATTAAAGGAATTGGGGTTCCAAAATGGACAGCAGTAGAAATTGTTTTAATTTGGGTTGTCTCTGTGGTTCTGGCTGTCCCTGAAGCCGTAGGTTTTGATATGATTACGACAGACTACAAAGGAAAGTCTCTAAGGGTCTGCCTGCTTCATCCAGTTCAGAAAACAGCCTTCATGCAGGTAAGTTTACCTTGCTTTTTCTTTCTGCACTTTCCTTATAAATATTTAACTATTCCCCACCTTGGTAAGCTATTGATTTATGACTACCTTTGGCATAAATTAAGAGTTTGGATCCCAAGACTGTGAGGTTAACCATTACTAATGACCCAACCTGAAAGAATCAGGATAATTACTTCTACAAGAACACCCTAGATAGCAAGGATCCAGATAAATCAGGTTCCTACAAGAATGGTTGTGGCTTTGTAACTTTTGTATCTAAAGTATCGTGAAGATAGATCACCACTGTATAACCTACAGAAGACAACCCAACATTGTCAGAGAAGCAGACTGTTTAAGCTACGTTTAAACTGAAGATACCTGATAGTATGGGTTTGGAACGGCAGCCTGTCCCTTCATCCCTTCGTGTGTGTGTGTGTGTGTGTGTGTGTGTGTGTGTGTGTGTGTGTGGGGCCATCTATTAAAGAACTTTTGATCAGAAAGTAGCGAAAGAATGGGGATATTAGTCTCTAAAAGATAGATCCTAAGTATAAGAGGCTTTTTTTCCCCAACAGAATTGGCTAATGCAAAGGGGGCTGGCCTAATTATCACCAATGACTATTTTCTATTTTACATGGAAAAGGTTTACATAAACTCTATGAATTATGCATTCAATAATAAGTAAAAGAACAAAGGTGAATGACATTGTGAAATAGAGAATGAGGTTGTTTACTAAAAGGGGAGTACCACATCAGGGACATAAAATCCTTTCTAACATGACTATATCTGGATTGGTAATATTTTTGAAAAGGTAACAGCAGAAAAGAACACAGGAAAGGTAAAACTCACAAGCACTTTCTAAATTGACATTACATGTATACACTATGGACTCCCCAAATGGCTAATACAGATCTCTTCACACCTGTTTTTCATACTAAACACACTTAGTAGAGAGGGAAATCTTTACCCAAATACTGTGAAGGGTCTACATACTTAACACTAATAATACCTAAAATGTCAAATATTTGATTATTGAATGTTTTATCTTCACATAAGAATGTTGTTCAGTTGCTTAAATCTTACTACACTGTCCCCAAGAATTGAAATATATTCTGTAATGTTCATTTCATTTAATGTAGGCCTTTAGTTATGTGTTCAGCATATATGACCCAAGAGATTCTATGAAATATATGAAAGATCTGTTAGAAAATTATTGTACTTTTATGAACCTATTTTGTTTTCAGTTGACATTTGATGCTTAGGGTTTTTTAAAGAAGATAATAATCATAAAAATTCTCTCTTCCTCATAGTTCTACAAGACAGCCAAAGACTGGTGGCTGTTCAGTTTCTACTTCTGCTTGCCACTAGCCATTACTGCAATCTTCTATACCTTGATGACCTGTGAGATGCTGAGAAAGAAGAGCGGCATGCAAATCGCTTTAAATGATCACTTAAAGCAGGTAAGAGAACGCAAGGATGTGGTGTATCCTGGCCATAATGGTGGTCACAGAGACGAAACTCATGATCATAGGCATGATGACTGACTAACAGACACTAGAACATAGTTTCCCTTTCTTCCTTCATTCTGCTGCTGTTGTAACAAAAAGACATTTTATATTAGTCAGAGACTGTGCATGTCATCTAAAAGGATCCAGAGAGAACCATTGCCTTTTGTTGCTCTTTTGCTTTAGGATAGAAGCTCAGATAGCACAGGCTAGCCTTGAATTAAGGGATGACCTGGGATTGAGTTCCTTCTGCATCTGCCTCTCAGTGATGTGATTGCAGACCTGCGCCCCTGGTCCAGTTACACACACACACACACACACACACACACACACACAAATTCACACACACTCACACACATATAGTATGTATGTATAATGTCTAATTTTTAGGCTTATTTCACGTTGGATAAATGTTTTGCCTACACACATGTGCATCACATGCTTGGTACACATAGAGCTTAGAAGGGGCCATCAAATCCCCTGGAACTGGAGTGAAGGATGGTTGTGAGCCACTATGTGAGTTCTTGGAATCGAACCCATGTCCTTTGAAAAGCAACAAGTGCTCTAAGGGGCGGAGCAGTCTGTCCATCCCCCAAACCCTTACTTTTTAAAGATGAATCCCCAGTGATGTTAATTCTAATTCACACTGTCTAACTGAATGTTCATTGACCTGAGTCTTTGCTTCTGTAAATACTATTAAATATCCTGCGTGAGGAAGCATGTGCTGTGAGCACCAACGTGTAGATTTACAAAGGCTTGTGGTTCTATTTCAGAGACGAGAAGTGGCCAAAACGGTGTTCTGCCTGGTCCTCGTTTTTGCCCTCTGCTGGCTTCCCCTCCACCTCAGCAGGGTCCTGAAGCTCACTCTTTATGACCAGAGTGACCCTCACAGATGTGAACTTTTGAGGTAAGAGAGGAAGAATGCCATGGACCTGGCACACGTATGTGACGTGAAAGGGGGAGGGGCTACTATCGGAGGGAACGGGAAACCAGCGAGCAGAAGACAAAGGGCACCACAGGAAGGTGCTGAGAGAGAGGTGAATGCCAGCAAGGTGTGCTGACACGTGAGGACACCCTGTGATGAAACTCGCCCATCTGAATGCCGGCTTAACATTTTTAAAAGAAAAAGTAGAAAGAATTATGTAATTGCCATCCAGATGTCTCCCCACCAGTCCTCCTGGCAGGCAGAAAGGATTCTAGTTTCTTATCCTTAGAGGCCAATTAAGACTCAGATTTTACCTTCACGCCTGTTTTAGGTGGATGAATGAAAGGGGGATGCAAGAAAACCTTGGGAATATAGGCACAGGGTTGTCAAAATGATGAGTGAGTGGCAAGAGGAAAAGTCTCAGATCTGAATCTTCATTATGCACACGAATCCTTTCTCTTCTGAAAGTCTTGTCATTTCCAAACGAGAACTTTAGTTTTAAAAGGAGAGCTGCACATGGAAGATAAGGCAGGAGAGGGCGGCGTAGATGACAGAGACAGAAGAGGGGGAGACAGCAGGAGGACACGTGACGACAGATACCTCTATTAGCCAATCAGCGGTTAAACTCATCACTGCATGTGGGCAATTCTGGCTTTCTTCGTGAAAACACAAAGGTGTGCATTGAATATATACTTGAAACATAATTTTTACATTTTGGGCTTCTTGCAGTTTTTTGTTGGTTTTGGACTACATTGGCATCAACATGGCTTCTTTGAATTCCTGTATTAATCCAATCGCTCTGTATTTGGTGAGCAAAAGATTCAAAAACTGCTTTAAGGTAAGAGAATAGTCCAAAATAAAGTATTTCTTCTGATCTGGGATCAAATATAAGCCCTCAGAACCACTAATAGTTCTATCTAGAGAGAGTTGGCAAATTTTTGATTTTCACTGCATTGAAACATATATGATGTTTTTAGATATCACTTTTGTATACAAAGCATATAAATATAGTAAATATTTGCTTGTAGATGCTTGTCAGTAAAATACCCATGCCTCAGCCACTCACTAATACTATTGGAATTGCTAAGATTAACAAAGTTACATGCACTGATAATCAATATCATGTAATCAAATAAAAATGAAACTGATGTACTGTTCCTCTGATTTTGGTAGATTTTTTATTGCTCAGCTACAATTTCAGTTATAAATAAGTTAATTGCCTCTTTTATGGGCTATGGGAATAAAGTCAAGGGCTAGGAGATGCCTCAACAGGTAAGAGTATTTGCTCTACAGGAGTGTCCAAGTCCCCAAAACACATGTGAAAAGTCAGTCATGCTATGCTTGGTCTGGTAACATATCCACTTAATCCCAGTACTTGGGAGGTAGAGGCAGGCAGATCTCTGTGATTTCAAAACCAGTCTGGTTTACATAATAAGATCCTGTCCCAAAACCAGAGAAAGGTATCAGACATAGCTGCTCCCATGCCTATAGTTCTAGGGCTGGAGGTAAGAGGAACAAAAGGATCACTGGGTGGGAAGACACTAGCCTAGCTCTGGGTTCAGTAGGAGACCAGTAGGGAATAAGGTGGAGGGGGACAGATTACGACACTCAGTGGCCTTCTCGGGTACATGCAACACACACACACACACACACCACATACACACGTGCATGCACACACACACCACACACACACATGCATGCACACACAACACACACCACATATACACACAGACACATACACACCACACACACACACATGCGCGCACACACAACGCACACACCCCATACACACACAGACACATACACACACCACACACACACACTACATACAAACATGCATGCACACAACACACACACCACATACACACACATACACACATGCATGCACACACAACACACACACCACATACACACACATGTATGTGCACACAACACACAACACACACACACATGCACACCCTCACACACACGTACATGCACACATGAATAACAAGCATAAAAAATTAAAATCATTTCTACCTTCTATGTACAGTGGCAGTATGTTGCTTCATGTAGGATATAATTATACCTTACTCAGATGTTGGTAGTGTGACAATCATCCAGTCATTCACTCTTTCATTAATACAATATCAAGTAAAATAAGCCTCTCCTCATATGAGAATGAACTATTGTCTCTAGCATTTCATTATTTAATAATCAAAATTAATTTCACTGTAAATACTAAAAAAGTTAAAATTGTCTTTGTCCATTAATAACTCTGACATTAGGGGTAGACGAGAACTTTTATCAAATCAACACCTTTCTTTACAAAACAGAAAACCTGCTATTTCCCTGAACGTATAGTTTATCATAATGCAAACAGAAAGTCTTCTATTTCCTTAGACTCATAGTGTATCATAAAATAACAGAATGAACAAAGTTTTAAAATCTAAAAACTCCAGTGAAAAGTGGTAAAAATAAAGATGCTTGCATCCTTCATACATTTATTTCAGAATAATATAGAAAGGGCATGTGAGAATAACACGTATCTTAAAAATGGCAAGGCAATACTAAACTTAGTGACACGGGAAGAGGTGGGTGTCAGTGTCAAGTGAGAAGAAGCAGGTAACGGGGCACATACACAAGTTACATAGACATATAAACACACGCTCATGCACAGTGGTAATGTTTCGGTTCTCAGGAAATGCTCGACGATCACAGCTGTCACACATTAAGAATTTTTTTAGTAAATAAGAAAAGTGTCAAAAGTGGCTTTGGGGGCTGAAGAGATGAGTCAGTGGGAAAGAGCACTTGCTGTGCAAGCTGGAAGATCTGAGTTCCACCTCACCTTGTAAAAAGCCAGGCGTGGCTGCCGACCCCTGTAATGCCAGCTTCACAGGATGGAGAGAGACCCCAGAGACAAGCTGAGCAGTCAGCTGGGCAGACACAGTGAGCTTCGGGTTCCATGAGATACCTTGTCTAAGGGAATAAGGGAGAGAACACTGGAGGAAAACAACAGAGACATGTTCCTCTGGCCTCTTACATATACACACATACACATCACACACACACACATATATTCACACACATACATACACATACACACATACACATTCACAGACACATACACATTCACAGACACACACATATATATCCACACACATATACATACATACACATTCACACACATATACATATATATTCACACACATACATACACATTCACACTTACATACATACACATAAATACACACATACATACATATAAACACACATACATACACATACACACATACACATTCACAGACACACACATATATATCCACACACATATACATACATACACATTCACACACATATACATATATATTCACACACATACATACACATTCACACTTACATACATACACATAAATACACACATACATACACATACACACATACATACATATTCACACACACATATATACATAATACACACACATACATACACAAACACATGGATACACATTCACACACATATAAACATACACATACATACTTACTCACACACATGTATACATACACATACATACACATTCACACACATATACATACACACATACATACATGCATACAAACATATACATACACATTCATACACACATATACATACATACATACACATTTACACACACACCAAAAAAATGAATAGATGTTTCTTGGGTAATGTTAATTAAGATTTTTTTCTTTGTACTTTTTAGTTGCAAAAAATCAGCACATGCCGCCAATGCAGACATCTTTTCAGTTTTTTTATTGTACTATTATTGTGTGAATGCAATGTGTGTATGAGCATAGGTGTATGCAGACCATGGTGCACAAGTTCTTCAGGGTGTGTGTGTGTTGTGCGTGTATGTTCACATAGACAATGGTGTCTGTTCTCTTTCTACCATGAGTTATGGCACTCAAACTGAGGTCATCACGCTTCAAATAGTAAGTGCTTTTACCCACAGAGTCCACAGAGTCATCTTGCTGACCTTAATTACATCCTTTTTAAGGGGAAAAATGAGAATGCGGGGGGGGGGCGCAATAATCCCACACTTGCAAGGACAGTCAGAGCCCCGGGAGCAGGAAGAGTGGTGGCCTATGACTGAGTAAACGCATAACCAGTTGTCCTATTCCGTACAGTCCTGCTTGTGTTGCTGGTGCCAAACGTTTGAGGAAAAACAGTCCTTGGAGGAAAAGCAGTCCTGCTTGAAGTTCAAAGCTAATGATCACGGATATGACAACTTCCGTTCCAGCAACAAATACAGCTCATCTTGAAGGGAAGAATATTTGCTTAATCTCATTATCCTTATTTTGGACAGATATCATTAGAACAAAACTGAAACCTTTGCCAAATCAAATGGAAACCTGTTTGCAGAAAGGCATGCAGAAATGCGAGAGGGATTATTTTTAAGGGTTGTAACTTGTAACAGCTGATATTTCATGAGCTGTTTACAGCCTAAGAAAGCAATGAAATTGGATGAAGCCTCCATGGGAAAGCACTTAGATTTTTAGTCAGCACTTCAACACAGCTCTTACAAGCTCCCAATGTATTCGTATGCCACTTACATTTAAAAACGGGTTCACTCCAGACTTCTGTTAAGGGGTTTATCATCCAGTCATATGAATCTGAGTAAAGAAAAGTGTGAGATTGGAAAAAAAGTTTCAAATAAACTTTCGATTACTCAATTTGAAACTTTTTAAAAATCCATTAGTGAACGTTTTCTGTATAATGTCACGCCATTTACATTTGAAACTGTATGTGAAATGTGAAAGCAATGTGATTGGTGTACTCTTTGGGTCATCACAACACCTAAATGATCAGAAAGGGGTATAAGAAAGCAAAATGGAGTCTAGATGTTTGAAGATCATTATGCTCTTTACATTCCAAGAGCAAATGTCACAGAGGGGAGGAAAATGGGGATGTGTGAGCTGCTGTCACTGAGACTTCTGACCTTCCCATTCACAGGCACTAAAGAAAAACACAGAACAGAACAGAACACTACCTAGGATTTTTCATGGTCCTTTCAACTATCCTCCCACAGTAGAAGCTTAATTTACACTTGGTTCGCTTCATCATCTGTAAATACTTAGCTATAAACACTTAACAATGGGCAGGTCCCAGCGTTAATAGCTTTCTGACAAAGAGATGCCAGTGACCCGGTAAGAGACAGAATGTGAATTTCCCGGTGCAGTGCCCACATGGCTAGGAAGCAAGGCGCATCTTCCAGGCGTGCTGTAGTTAAAATGGTCCACAGAACAATATGACAAATAGTTAAAATACCATCTTTTAGAGTCACAGAAATTAGTCACGGCAACCAGCTATCTTGGGATTATATTGCCAATTTTTATGTTATTTCTGGAAACAGTCAAAAGAAAGGTGATCTGGACAGGGTGCTCTTCTAAAACTTAGAGGTCACACTGCTTTGGGGGACTGCAAACGCTCGACACTCTGAACTCTTAATCTGCTTTCACCAAGCACCGTGGGCTCACTCCGGATGAGCAGTGTGTGAAGAATGCCCGAGGGAGAACCGAGAGAGAGGAAATGAGGTGGGTGGGGTAGGAGGAAGCCCGTGGGGGAAAGATTCCCATTCTTAGCCCGGGCGTTCGTCACTACCGCGTCATAGCAGAGCGAAAGGTCCTGGGTCTGCTCCAGCAAACCACAGAGCCGCGTTCTCAGAGTGACCGGGGAACAAATCCAGCCCAAGAGCCTTAACTTTGTCTTAAAATATAACCGAATTTCCTCTTTTTTTCTTTTAGTAACCCAGGCCACATGTTGAAAATGAGCTAAGAATACAGTTTTCTGCCAAAATCCACTGTGACAATACAATGAACCCAAATATGACAATGAGGTCAAAAAGAAAGGACGACAGTAAGCTGGCATGTCGCGAGGACTCTATTCAGGAGTCGCCCGCAGTTCTTGCTTATGGGTTCCTCATCATCATTTTTTACAAATACTTTTCAACATAAAAGACACCCCAGATTCTAAGTTTTAAATTAGTTATGGGCCTCCAACACTTTCACGGTGTGAATGTATTTTCGATTCCTGTTAAGTTTTAGATTGATTTTGTTCCTGTGTACTAAGTTCTTGCATCTTAATGTTCTTCTTGTTTAACCCAAACACTCTTTACCTTTAAATGTCATACTCATGAGCAATAATCATCTTGCCAAATTACAAAATGACATAAAAATACTATTCATACAGTATTTGCAATAAAATTGCATCCAGTGGATCTGTGGAACAAAATTTTAGCATACAGATAAAGGGTGATAAGAAACAAAGATGCTCTCTGCCTAATTAAAAATTAAGATGAGAAAACATGCCACCATCTAACCTTAAAGCATATTTTCTAATATTCTAGATGCTTAACATAGCAATGCATAAGAATAGTGTTAACAAGGATGTTCTAGGTCAAAAGATTTGTGAGTGATTTTAACACGTTTTTCTCTCCTCAATTACCAGTGTTAATGTTGGTCTGTGTTCAAATGCTTTTCAGTATCGACAATGTGCAACAGCCAAAGGAACACTGCTTTCATCAAAACTTGGGTTTGTTGTGTCTAACATACAAGTGTAATATAGCCATGTAAAGTGATTGTGTTTTGTTTCGCTATGGTCACTTAAAGCGGCAGCTGGTATAGTTGCTGATTCCTTGTTGTGTGAACAAACCAATAAACATTCAAATCATTTCCAAGAGCAGCTTATCTTTTACCATGTGGGCATTCATCACTTCACACCACGTAAACGGTGAAAGGGAATAGAGATGCTGTAAAGGAACATTACTTACCTTAAATATACATTTATCAAGGAATGAAAGGGAGATTAAAATGCCGACTTTTGCTGTGTTTCATTGAACGCGTGTGGCCATCCTTCGCCACTGACAGTCACCAGGAGTCTTTACCTTCCTTTACCTGCGGAGCTTCCTTTGCAGGCTTCCCGCCTCTGAGTCTTGCTGTGTTGCATTAAGGATGAGGTGAGACTGGGCATTGCTCACAGCATTCCACAAGCAGCCTTTTAGTGTTGAGTGTGTGCATGGTAGAATGAAATTATTATAGGCCGAGGACCCCTCATGAGAAAATCTGAAGTCTGAAATACTCCAAAACCCCAAATCTTTTTAAAAGTGGGAAATTTCACATTTGATCTCCTGCTATATAACATAGTCATTGTGCAAGTAAAACTAAAACTACTAAATAGAATGACCTAACTACAAAACAGATAACTGCAAGTCCAAAGGACTAGATCCTAGCATCCCAAACTGCTGTGTGTAATTCGTGAGCGCTACACCATCTTCTAAAGGACAGGTGGCTTATTTTTTTAAAGACTGACAAATTATATGTAGAGTTGTCAGCATGGCCACAACAGGGACAGCAGAAGGTGAGATTTGTTCTTTTCCTGGAATTGAGGGTTGAGGAAAACTGAACTCCATCAACAGTGAGATTTCCAGCCCTCACCCTTTCTAGAAGTCACTAGGAGCTGGGTACATCTTGGGCAGGACGATGAAGACTCTACCTGAAGAAAATAGCCTGTCTGAAGATGAAGGATCATTCAGATACAAACATGGAGAGTACACAGGGTTCCCACTGAAAGGGTCATATGCCGTCTCCAGTCTGTGCATGCACAGAGAATTTTTAGGCTGACTTTTGGTGCCGCATATTAAAGTATGAATGAGTGTCAGAAGCCCAAAGGCATTTTGGGAAACTTTGTAGTGAAGGACAGAACTGATGACTGATGGGAAAATACAATGTGAGGAGGCTGAGCAAGCACAGGGGAAAAGTCAACACATTAGACTTAATTGTCCCAGAGTAACAAGACTAGGAAAGCAAAATCAAGGCGCTTAATGATCAAAAGAACACTTGGGGACTCTGATACTGTGCTGAAAAACTGAAAATGTGTTTGATGGCATAAAAGACAAAAGCAAAGCGTTCCAATGGCCAACAGTGGCAACAAAGAGAATGAAGGGGCTCTGCCAAACTGTGCTCACCAAGTTGGGCTCAGGAAGGACATCAAGAAGAAGGTCAGGAAACAGGTGAATCCACCACAGGAAACTCGGTGACTGATGTCAGCGTGATGAAGTGGCAAATACTTCTGTTGTCTAAGAAACAATCAGTCCAATAAGAAGCAGAAGAGTGGACAAAGGATAACTTGAAGAGAGAAAAAGAAATTAAAAACAGCAAGATTGTGTGGCATGTTTAATGACACTCACAACTGGCTGACAACACCTGGCAATAAATGAATGATGTCACCAAGAAAATACTTATATTAGATGGTTGTGAAGATCTGGGGAGATGGCTAAGCAGTTAAAAGCAATGGTTGTTCTTGCATAGGGCCTGGGTTCATTTCCCAGCACCCACACTGTGACTCATAACCATCTTGTACCTCCAGTTCCAAGGGGTCTGATGTCATCTTTTGGCCTCCACAGGCAACAGACGTGCGTGTGGTGCATAGACATAATACAGGCAAAACAGCCATACCCATAAAAAATTAAAAATGACAATAAATCTCTAAATATTGGTTTTAAAAAGGCAACTGTTAATCTCCCTATAATTTCTTCCCTGTCAAGAAAAAAACATAGACATTCGTAGCTTCCTGGCTTTGATAAAAAAAAAAATACCTTGTAAAAATAACACTGTTTTAATCAACTCTGTGATTTAAATAAATTAAAAAGTGTCTGGACAGTAATGGGGTAGGAAACACATTCTCAATGTGCTGCAAAAAAATCATTCATCCACTTAGTAGAAGCACTTAGTAATTAATATAGGAAAGAAATACTTGTCCTAGGACCAGAAATATCCACTTATAGAGGATTTCTCATGGGATCATGATACAAGTGCCAGAATGTTCACAAGGAGCACTGTTTATTTCAGTCCCCAAATGAAAACAACTCAAACTCCAATAGCAATATTTTAAATTACTAGACCATATAGAATGCCAATAAAATGGAAAATAGAAGGTCTTCCTGGTTGATCAAGCTTGTCATGATAAAAACTTTGATCCAGCAAATTGTCATGAGTACTGTCCTGTACATGTAAGATCTTTGGCGGCCTACTCAGCCTCTGTCCACTAAACACCAATAGCATCCTCTCCAGTTGTGAGAGCCAATGCATTTCCAAACATCATCAAATATCTCTTGGGAGTGGTTGACCAACCCCATTGTCAACTACTATGCAATGATATAATTCTGATGATAAGAAGTTCAAACTCTGCCACAGTAAAGCTTTATGTTCAGAGACACATACATCCTCAATAAAAGTTAAGGGAAATTATAATACAAATAAGTACTGCTGCCACACTTGGAAAACTGGTGACAACTGAGACTTGGGAAAAAATACCTAACTATCTTCTGTGACTGAATCTGTATTTACAGATGTCACTTACAAATTTACACTGTTGTTTTGCATATAACGTACCAGACAACATGCTTCTACAATAAACTTCTAATTATTACCTTTAAATAAAAAGACATGTGCCCTCTTCTGTATGGTCTGCAATTTAAAAAGTAACGAAAATGGAACACACGTAATTATAACTAACTGAAAAATTAGGAAACAGCCCTCAGTGCTGTCACAGCACATTCAGAAATGTGGATGAAAGGATAGAAAAGCTATGGAAGAGAAGGAAAAAGTTACTAACAGGCAAAGCCAAGGCCAGAATACTCTGTGTTTTCCTTCCTGTTCACAGACTGCTGAAAACTAAGCAGCGTGAAAATGGAGTGGTAGGGGGGTGGGACTTAGCCCTTCTATCCCATGTTAAACAGGAGTAAGCTGACCTCATGCTTAGAGCTGATAAGTCTTCAGGTCTGCACATAACCATGCCAGTTAAGTTGTGACAACTGAAAATTTCTAACCATCTATTCCCCCTCACTCCACCCAACACAGGCAGACATACAAAAACACATCTATACACACAGGTGACACTCACATGGAACCAGACATGGTACCTCCAGCTTCATAAGCCATGTTTTCAACTCACCACTAGATCAGGAAATCTTTTTTTTAACCAGATGCAAAATGTTTTCTGAAATAAGTCCATACCTTGGAAATCCTGTAAAGCCCCTAACATGTGGATTGCAGGTGCTTCTTTACATTCACTCAGCTAAGACCATTCCTTTCTAGGCAATCTGGGGAAAGTTTAGGATTATAGTTGTATAAGAATATGTTTTCCTGTGAAGGGGGCATGCCTTTAATCCCAGAACTCAGGAAGTAGAGGCAGGAGGATCTCTGTGTATTCAAGGCCAGCCTGGGCTACAAAGTGAATTTCAGGACACCCAGGGCTTTTACACAGAAAAGTCCTATCTCAAAAAGAACTGTGTGTGTGTGTGTGTGTGTGTGTGTGTGTGTGTTTTCTTTATTTCATATTATTTTATACAAGGTCTCACTAAGTAGCCTTGTGTTCACTAGGTTGGCCTTGAACTTGCAATGATCCGCTTGTTCAGCCTGAGTACTGAGATTATAGTTGCCAGTTACCACACTTTGGTTGACATAAAAATAAATGGAGCCCATGGTGCTATTTTCGTAAGTATTTATCATCACACTTTCCTCTTACCACTCTGTACCATTTCCACCTATTAATGATGATCCCTTTCTTTTTTCCTATTTTTTTATTTAACTTTTTACACACATCACTCTCAGTTCCCTCTCCCTCCCCTCCTCCTTCATCCCCCAATCCTCCCAACCCCTCACCCCCACTCCATCCCCCCTCTGCTCCCCAGGGAGGGCAAGGGCTTCCATGAGGGATTTTCAGAGTCTGTCACATTTATGAACCCTTTCTCCCCCTCTCATTTAATATTTCCCTCTTCTGTTTCCATCACACACATACTCATGGTTTACTGACCTGGTCTCTTTGAAAGGTGTGAGATTACAAAAACACAGGAACCATACTAAGTTGTCCTAGAAATGTCAGACACTTCATGCATGAAGTCTCTCCAGCATGGCTGCCTAAACATGATCTGAACAAGGACAATACCGACAGACATGCTAACATGGAAGGTTTAAAGCGCATGAAGCCTCGATTCTACACAAAGAGCTACAGGCAGCTAAGGGACACTGAGAGCGGAAGGAGTGGTCCTCCCGAGGCAAGAGTCCACCAAGTGTTTATCCAGCACCAAATGGTCAGCCCTGAAAACATACCTACAAGTAGTTGCATAGAAGACTGCATGCATATATAAAGTTTTAGTAATTCGGTTCTGTATTCACCCAAGAGAAATGAATGCATACAGTCATAAAGATCGGTACACAACTCTTCATGGCACTGTCAATTCAAGTTCCCAGGGGTGGAAAGCCACCATTCCACTAGGAATTCTTTAAGGTTGGCAGATTAGAACTTCTGTGGCTATACAGATCCAGAAACTAAGTATTTTGAACTACCACCAGTCATTATTTCAAGCACACACACAACCTCCCCCCTTTATTTTGATGAGACAGAGCCAAGGCTAGCCTGGAAGCCTGGGAATTAATATGTAAATTGACCTCAAACTCACAAAGACCTGTTTGCCTCTGCCTCTTGGGCACTGGTTTAAGGCATTAACCCTTGTAATAGTCATTCATTAGCCACCTCTGTGTTTGCTCTAACATCCTGTAACTAAAGTAGATACTTTATGAAACATACAAATAGACCATGAGTTTCCACCAACCCAAAGATCAAGAATGTCACCAGATAACATCTGGGCCTATAGCAGAGATTTCTTTCCTTGACTAAAACATGACTACTTGATGTCCCTTCAATGTATTATAAAAAATACATTGATTTATGAAAATCTTTATTCTGTTACTATAAAAACATCATGAAACTTTTGCCATGTTGGAACATGGCATTTGGGGTAACCCTAATCTTTGTACCCAGGCATAGTCACTGATACTTTGCTCCAGAACAAACTGTCTTGTCTTCCCTTTGAACTGAGAGCTGTGTTGTTTTGTTTTTAGTTGCTATCATCTTTGTTTACAATATCCTGAGCCTGGAAACAGCCTAAATATCCACAAACTGGCTGAGAAGCATAGAGTAGGATATCCATGTTGTGGAATTCTGTCATCGACAGAAAGGAACAAAGACCTGATAAATGTCATGTCATGAATGGGTCTCAAAAAATTATGCTAAGTAAAGCCAGACACAAAATTTAGATATAAAGACTACTTCTATGGTCACATTATGAAGTGCCTTAAATAAGCATGAACAAGAAAGATCATTGATAATCTAAGACTGGAGTCTGGAAATGGTACTGATCCCAAGTGGCTTCCTGGTGATGAGGATTTTCCAAGAACAGATTGCAGCAAGGATTGAAAATTGTCAATTTACTAAAAACAATTAAGCTTGCATTTGAAATCAGACAAATTGTGTTATATAAACCATATGGCAACATAGTTACTTTCTCAGAAACAAAGTACAGACATTTACAAGATGCCAGTAACTCTGCACAAAGAGGTGTGGCTTTCAGAAACTCCAGAGTAGTGTTGCTACAGAACATAGTCTAGTAAAATGTATGATGACTTAGGCTGGACAAAGTAAATGTTATCCTACAGAATAATTTTTTGGACCACAGTCCACAATAAAAATAATCCTTCATTATGTCCTTACTGTGCATTGTAATGACTAGTTAGGCTTTTAACTGAGGCAACTTACTAATATTAACTTTAGCATCTTAAATATTCTTTTTATTGAAAATAGATTTTTTTCATACAGTTTATTCTAGTTATGATTTCCCCCTCTCCCTATTCCTCACAGTTCTTCTCCATTCAAATTCACACCCTGTTTCTCCTTGGAGAACAAGCAAGAATCTAAGGATAATAACGAAATAAAATAAAGTAAAAAACATGTGAAATGAAATAGGACAAAAACAAAGAGAAGGAAAAAGAGCCAAAGAAAAACCACAAGCAACACATATAGACACAGAGGCACATACACAGAAATCCCATTAAAAAAAAAACTGGAAGCCATAATATATACACAAAGGACTTGTAAAGTTTTTTAAAAAGATACTCTTAAAAAACTTTAGGAGACAAAGAACCTCCAAAGACGCCCCTGAGTTTGTTTTGTGTTGGCCATCTGGTGCCTGCATTTAAGAGTGGTCTGTTTCCTCAATGGCACTCCCTTGGAGAAACTAATTTGTCCTTGGCAAGTATCTATCAATAGACATGGCTTCTGGGTTATGGATAGGGAATGTAGGGATGTGCTCTAGGACCCTATCTGGTGCAGAACTGTGCAAGCCCGGTGCATGCTACCACAGACTCTGGGAGTTCATATGTGCGTATATCCTAGTGTTTAGAAGGCCTTGCTTCCTTGGTGTCCTCCATCTTCTCTGACTCTTACACTCTTCCTGCCTCCTCTTCAACAGGGTTACATGAGTACTGAGAGGAGGGATTTAATGGACATCCCTCTCAGAGCTGGGTGTTCTGAGGTCTCTCACTCTCTGTATATTGTCTGGTTGTGGTTCTCTGCATTTGTTCTCACCTGTTGCAGAAGAAGCTTCTCTAATTGTGGCTGAGCAAGACATTGATCTATGAACATAGCAGAATGTCATTGGGAGTCATTTGATTGTTTTTTTTAACAGTAATATGTAGTTTTACCCTAGGTCTCTGAACTATCTAGTCTCAGGTTCTTGGTCATACACTCAGTGTTCAGTATAGGTTCTGTGTCATAGAGTGGCTGTTAAGTCAGACAGATATTAGTTGGTTACTCCCATAAACTTTGTGCCACTGTTGCTTTTGTGGGATATTTGATCACAATGTGAATCGTTGAGACTGTTAATAAGATTGACTTTGGTGCAGGGGTGGATCCAGCAGCTAGTCGACAGGAATTAATATAGAGAGGACACAGGAGCCGGGAATATGGATAAGGAGACACACAGGAAGGAGTAGGGAGAGACTTAGAGATTCAAAGTCCTTTTGGTCTGGGACAAGTGGAAAGGTGCTTCCCTTGCTGGGTCTCTGGCCGAAAGGAAGGTCAGCTGGTTGCTTCTCAGCTTCTCTGGTCTGGCAGGTCTTCATCCCAGCATGTGACTCACGGGTCTTTATTGGTAAATAGAACAATAGAGACTTAGTTAAAACCTACACTTGATGGCAGAGGCTGAGCAAGCAGGACCAGGAATCCCACCAGGCCCTGAGATGAACAGTGGGGATGCTGACCTAGGGGTTGCAGGGCACAGATGGTAATTAAGATATCAGTAGATTCCGGTACAGCTGCTAAGCTGAAGTAAAAACGCTTGGCTTTCTAACTCGGGCCACAGTCACGCGGAGAAGTCACTGAGGCACCACCTCGGTTGATGCTCTTCTTCCAGGGCTCTGCTCCAGCCAACAGCACTGCCTGCGGGGACCACAGAGGGAAGACTAGGGTTCAGGAACTTCAGAGAGGACACTGAGCTCACCGCTGATGTTGCTGCTGTAGAAAAAGGGCAAAGTCAGCAGATTTGGTGAAATACATGGGAAATTTTTGAAGAGAGAGTTAGGAGATATTTTTAAAAACTAAAAAGAAAAAAAAATTCCCATATTAGGAATGGGAGTTAGACTTTGTATAGTGGCTTAATGGGTGGCTTAAAAATGGGGGAAAAATCAACAGATAACTTATCTGGGATTGACATAATGCCAAATATAATTATTATCAATTTCATAGTTCTATTTTCTCCTTTAAAAAGTGGTTTGATAACTCTGCCAATGTGAAAATTTGATTGATAAAATACAGGCTTTAAAAAGACTTTCTATTGATACGATACAAGCCTTATAAAGACTTACTAATGAAAATAAGAAAAATACTCAGACACAGACAGAGGAATTTATAAAAAGAACCTGCCACACCACTTAATGATGAAACTGGTGAGGGGGAGCACAAGGTTATTAGAAAAACCAATCTTAGTTTATCCAGTTACTATATAAGAACAACCAGCCAATGATAGGCACCCCTGAGGTTACATAAAACTCAAATGGGATCCTATAGATATATTAGGTTTGAGGAGATTTAAGGAACTGTGTAGACAGAGTTTCTGTTCTGCCTGGTTCCACCACCCTTCAGTCACAAATAAACACACAGAGGCTTATATTAATTAGAAACTGTTTGGCTGATGGTTCAGGCATCTTATTGGCTAGCATTCTATTAATTATTAGCCCATTTCTAATAATCTAAGTATTTCCACATGGTCTTATCTTACCAGGAAATGTTCAGATCTGTTACTCCTTCAGCAACCACATGGCATCTCTCTCATGGCCTTCCTCTGTGTCTTCTCCCCAGAATTCTCCTGGTCTGTTAGCCCCGCCTATACTTCCTGCCTGGCTACTGTCCAAGCAGTGTTTTATTCATCAACCAATAAGAGAAACACATATACAGAATCCACACCAGAACCAGTCATTTCATATGATATGCATTCACCCTATGCGAAGTAGATATTTATTGGCAATTCAAAATAGAATTATCCATCAGTACTGGAAAAGTTTGGCAACATCAATATTGGAAGCTGTTCCTCAGTTATAATGGTGAACATGGTGGAAAAGAGGAAGCTAGGACCAAAGAAAAATGAAATAGGGCGAGAGATATTGATATTTCCTAAGAGCAGTTTCTTGGTGAAGGTGTGGCAAAGACCAACATTGTACTAATGAATGCAGATCAACAAGGGGCAGGAAAGGTAACCCTTTCCCATCAGAAAATGCCTTAGTAGGCCTCTTATGGACCCCAATATCAAATTTGGTTTAATCATTCCCTGGCAGCATTGGATAAATTCATCCATAGAGCAATTAAAAGAATTAATACCTGTTGCTAAAACTGCACTACTCTAGATATGATCAAGGACAGATCAGCTTCAGCAGATACAACAATTTCAGGAGAGACAAGAAAGCAAGTCTTCTGGCAATCTGCTACAAATTATCAGAGACAGAAACTAAAAATACAAATAAATGGCATCGAAATTATAGGTCTTTTGGACACAGGCACAGACGTAGCAATAATTTCACCAAAATGCTGGCATCCAGATTGACCTTTTTATTGCATGGGAATCAAGATTCACTAGACTCAGTACAGGTTAAGTGAAGTTTTTTCCGGGAGAATGTACTTACACAAAAGGAAGGTGACTGCTGAAGGTCACCTCCAAGAATCTACCCAGGCTGCTCTCTGTGACCCAACCAGAAGCAACAGAGAGCACTGGGGTAAGGGATCCCAGATCTAGTCCTGCCCTCCATCCAGTCCACAACTGTGACCACCCCAAATGGGTGTGGTCAGTGCTACGGGTGTGGGAGGGGTGGGTATCTCACAACACCTCTTCAAGAAGTAAATATTCAACTTCTAGGTATTAGAACTTTGTTTCAGGTAAAACAAAGTACAAGACGGGTTGAATGTATAGGGCCAGAAAGACAGATAAAGTTAAAGCCATATGTGGCTGACATAGCAATGTATTTATGGGGATGAGATTTGTTGAAGCAGTGGAAAACACAGATTAACATTCCTCCAATCTCAGAAACAAACTATAAATAAAGAATACTTTGGAGAAAAATATTAAAAGGTATTATCAACAACAGTCATAGACCTTACAGGTTGTATATAAGCAGAGCACAATGACTGTTGATCTTTCAAAGGCACCAACATCCTTACCTTTAATATGGTTAATTGACCAAACTGTATGGGTGAAACAATGGTCTCTGACATCAGCAAAATTACACACAGTAGCAGCTAAATACTCAACAAATTGAAGAATCAACCAGTCCTTGGAATTCTTCAATGTTTGTCATTAAAAATAAGTATAGAAAATAGACAATGGTAAAAAAAAATATGAGAGCTATTAATAAGATGATCCAGCCAATGGGCTCTTTACTGCCTGGAATTCACTTGTCTTCTTTACTACCTAAAGAATGGTCTATTATAGTGAATGATTTAAAGATTGCTTTTTTGTATACCTTTACAAGAACAGGATATAGAAAATTTTGCCTTCACAGTGCCCATTTATAGTAACTCTCAAAATGGTAGAAAATATCAGTGGAGGGTCATGCCACAAGGAATGGTAAACAGCCACAACTTGTGTCAACATTTTGTACAACAGCCATTAGCAATAATTTGTAAACATTTTCTTCAATCTATAATTCCCCATTATATGGGTGATATCTTGCTGGCAGATCCAGAAGCAGATACCTTAGGAAAAATATTGTTGAAGTAAGGAGAATTTTCCTTATTGGTGTTTACAAATTGCTCCTGAAAAAAATGCAAAGAAGAGATTCTATTAGTTACCTAGGATTACAAATGCTCTCATAAATCTTTGTATCACCATAGCTTTGGAATAAGCTATTCAAACCTCCCATGTGCTAAGTTTTTTGTGAAGCCAGTTTCACTAGCCCCACAGTGTCTGGACCTGACTTTTTTTTTAACATATTGTTGTATTCAAGTATTTGCCCCAAATTATTTGTTATTCTCAGACAAAAGACAAAATAGTCACAGAATTTTTTGATTGAAGATGATTTTGATGAAGAGGTAGACAACTTGTCTTTTTATCAACCCTGCACAAAGAACTATAGGCAACTAAGGAATGAAGAAATAGTCTTCCCCAGGGCAGAGCACACCAATTGGTTAGCCAATACCAAAAATATATACAGACAAGTAACATTATACAGACTGATGCAGGTTACACTCAGGACTACATGTGTATAAACAAACTTATATGTATATAGCAACAATTAATGAAAAAATAATTACTTAGAGGTCGGTCAGCACCATGAGGCCTGGGTACATGGAGGATAACTACAACTCTACCCCAGGACTCTCCCTCAGGGCAGTCAGAGATCAATTACAAGCAGCCTGGTGTGTGTGGCTCACCATTGTGGCGATCAGGTATAGAGTAGAGAAATGGAAGAGAGAGAGAGGCAGAAAGGTTCATGTGCTGGAGAGAGAGGCAGATCTGAAGAGTCCAGAGCAGTGTGGAACTGGCCGAGGTGGGTGGCCTTGTTGACACCCAGGACCATGATGATGTCTGGGCCTGGGCAGGATCTCCAGCACACAAGGCAGCAATAGGATATTCAACAAAATTCCCAGTGCTGAGAGCATAGCAGCAGCTGGAGACCTCAAACCAGAACAATGACTCATTGCAATGAAAACATACAAGATGTATGAACTAAAGAGTACACTGTGTGATTCCCTCTGTCGTCACACTATAGCTTCCATGCTGAGACTCTGTGTGTGTGTGTGTGTGTGTGTGTGTGTGTGTGTGTGTGTTAGTTTGGTTGTTTTGCTTTTTGCTGTTATTTTTCTTTTGAATTTTGTTTGGTTCCATGGGGGAGGTTGCAAGGCAGAGGGCAGATATGAAGGGAGAGGGAGATGGATACGATTGGGATGCATGATGTGAATCCCACAAAGAATCAACAAAAAAGTAAGTAAAATAAATGTGAACACTGTCAAGAGATATACTGCTAGACCTTACCCTGTGTGCACTCACAAAATATACAACAGCAGCCGGGCGGTGGTGGCACACACCTTTAATCCCAGCACTCGGGAGGCAGAGGCAGGCAGATCTCTGTGAGTTCGAGGCTAGGCTGGACCGATAGCCTCCAAAACAATACAGAGAAACCCTGTCTCGTAAAAACCAATATATATATATCAGCAATTGTAGAAATCAAAGCCCAGTTGAAATGCACTAGTTGTTACAGGATAAATAAGTCATATTGGAAATGCATTTTAAAAAATGTTGAGCATAAAAACATTAACTTCCAAAAAACACATTCAGGAATATATATTATATACATGTATGTATACAGCAATAATGAATGAAAAAGGGGACCTTGAACTTCAAAAAGAGGGAATAAATGAATAAATGATGTTATCATATAATCTCAAAACTAAAAGAAAAATTCTAATACTTCTAATACATAGATACACAGACACACACACACACACACACACACACACATTCACTGCCGCTAGGATTGTATTATATCCTAGTGCTGTTGTCTGGGGGTCTTGTCTTAGGTTTGCTGTCTCTGCTGCTGAAAGAATTAATAGGAGGAAGTAAATCACAGTCACTGTAAGCAGATGTTTTATTGAACATGCAAGAGCCCCCAACATACACAACACGCAGAGTCAGACTTTCCATTAGTGAAGAGGGGATTTGGAAACTGAAATCCATTCTTTATGGAGGGTGGTAGGGTGGTTTTAAGGGTTTTGGGTGGCCTGGGAAAGTTGCTCTTCCTCCCCTCTTTTTGAATTGGTGAAATTTTAAAAGGTAAACTGGCTCACAGCCCATACAAGCTTACACACAGGGCTGGAGCATAGAAGGGAGCTCATTGTGGGTGTGAAGAAGCCAGAAGTCCTATCTGAATTGCAGGGTGCAGGATGGAGACAGCAGCAGAGGCAGAAACCTAGGGAAGAGTCCTTAGCACATAGCCTGTTGAGAGTAGTGTACATAGCCTGTCGACTGTTGTTTGCAAAGGCTGGAGTGACCTGATATGGACTGTGACCCTGAAATAGCGAGAGGTAGATGTGCGTCTGCTTTTGGGTATAACTGAGGAATGAGAGAATGAGGAAAAGAGAAGCCAGAAAATGTCTGACTTTGTTTGTTTTTAAACTGAACAGCTGGACTTTATTTAGTACCTACCTGTGAGAAGACATCAGGAAGAGCGGATTGGGGAAGAGCAACAGGAAGCCAGAATGCACTTTTGGCCATGGGGTCCTCCAGAGGCTCCAATGGGGAAGTGCTGTATGGAGAAGTTCTTCTGGAGTTCAGCAGGGTAGTCTTAGCCAGAGATAAAGATCCCCAATTCACCAGACAAAACTGTGAAGCTGATGTAGGAGAAACTGATGTAGGAGTAACAAATGGATGTTACAAAAGATCTACTAAACTTGCTACGGGAGGGCACAGGATATGTTGTATAGTAGCTGGCAGAAATGGTAGAGAGAGGGCCAGGTGGTGGCAGCAGCTGAAACCTTTAGTCCCAGCACTTGGGAGGCAGAGGCAGGTGGATTTCTGTGAGTTTGAGGCCAGCCTGGTCTACAAGAGGGAGTTCCAGGACAGCCTCCAAAGCTCAAAAAAAAAAAAAACAAAAAGAAATGGTAGAGAGAAAGAATCTGTGCTTCTAACATAACTGAAGGTTAGAGTCTCCGAGAGAAACTGATGGGGATTTCTGTAAGAAAAACAAGGCAGAGAAGCAGACAGACTTCAATCTCAACCAAATGAAGTTGCTTTATGGGAACAGTGAGGAACTCCAATACTTCCTTGGGATGAAGGCTGGGAGCACTCCGAGGGTCTGGGGACATGGACATGTATAACATACATGGAATATACTAGAAAGTTACAGCTTTTTTTATGGTTTGACTGGAGCAGGGTCGGTTGTTTTCAGTAACTCTGTGTATTGTTTCCACATGTGGGGCACACATGATTAGGCTAGGAGTGATTGCCTGATACAGCCTGACACAATTCCTCATGATCTGAGGTTATTAGTCAACAATTTCTGTTCAGGGCTGGTTCCCTTTTGTTCCATTAGCCAGAACTAGTCACTCACTATTATTACAGCTTTCCTGTATCAATCTCTAAGTGCTTGGAGTGATTTCTCACCGGGAAGGCATATTAGTTCTATAAGAAAGTCACAGGAAGTCTGACCAGCACTGTGGCAGTGAGCGCAGATTAGGACAGGAGATCCGAAGATAGAGCCTCAGGTCCACTGTCACTCAGAGGTGACAGAGGAGCAGAAAAGGTGACTGCATCTTACTAGATGCCGTCAGCATTGTTGGGAGAAGGAAGGCAGAGTAGAGTCACTCATGGGGAAATTGTTGGAGCAGGGACACTGGCATGTGGATCCAGTGCTAAGAGGCGAGATCAGGAAATGGACTTTGGGCTTCAGCAGAATTGAGGTCACCAGTGCCCCAGTTGGCAATGTCCTGGAAAAGTGGGAACAAAGAGTGAGAATTGAAGAGGGGGAGAGGACATAGAAGAGCAGCTGGCAGGGGACTGAGGTTTCTAGATAGGGTTTCTCTGTGTAGCCCTGGCTGTCCTGGAACTCGCTCTCTAGACCAGGCTGGCTTCGAACTCAGAGATCATCCTGCCTCTGCTTCCTCGAGTACTGAGACTAAAGGCGTGCACCACAACCACCTCAGCAAGAAGGAAAGGATTTATTTGGCTTACTTTTCCACATCTTCACCGTTGAAGGAAGTCAGAACAGGAATTCAAACAGGACAGGAGCTTGGAGGAAAGAGCTGATGCAGAGGCATTGAGCTCAATCTCTCTCTCTCTCTCTCTCTCTCTCTCTCTCTCTCTCTCTCTCTCTCTCTCTGTCTGTCTCTGTCTCTCTGTCTCTCTGTCTCTCTGTCTCTCTCTCCTCTCTCCTCTCTCCTCTCTCCCCTCTCCCTCTTCCCAGACAGTCCAGGAGCTCAGTTTATTCAAGGTTGGTCATGTACTCATAAAGATCAACCTACCTCTCCCAGGTGCAGGTTTTAAAGGCAAATGCTACCATACCAGGCTTAGATGGCTTTCTTCCTTTTTTGTTTTAGGGGGGCATGTTTCCAGACAGGGTTTCTCTGTAGCTTTGCTGCCTGTCCTGGTACTTGCTCTGTGGACTAGTCTGGTCTCAAAATCAGAGATCAGCCTGCCTCTGCCTCCTGAGCTCAGGGGTAGCCTCACCCACAATGACCTGGGCCCTCCCACATCAATGACTAATTATGAAAATGCCCTACAGGCTTGCCTACAGCCAGATGTTATGGAGGCATTTTCTCACAGGGATCTTGCCTCTCTGACTCCAGTTTGTGTCAAGTTGACTTAACTAGAGACAGGGCCAAGAAATGCTGCAGGGTTCAAGCAAACTCTCACTTCCTCCCAACCAGCCCTTCTCAAAGTGGTGCCAGAAGGTATATCCTAGCTTGGTATGGTGGCACAAACCTTTAATACCAGCACTCCAAGGCAAAGGCAGACAGATCTCTGAGTTCAAGACCAACCTGGTCTATATACAGAGCCAGTTCCAGGACAGGGTTATACACAGAAACCCTGTCTCAAAAAAAACAAGAAGAGGAGTAGGAAGGAAGGAAGGCAGGGAGGCAGGCATATCTTACCAGAGACACATAGAAAGGGGCTCATCTCTTTCTTGTTTAAATGAGAAAACTGAGAGGTGATGATGTTAGATGCAGAAACTAGAGCCTTGAATCTCAGCTCTAGGGTGAGGTAATGACAGTAGATGTTGCTGTCATCACTCCATCAATTGTGCAGCACCTGCAGCTTTCTCCCTGCCACAGGAGCATGCTCCCTTAGATCCTCACTGTGTGTCCCCCCAGTCCCTCAGTATCCTCAGGAACTCCTTTATGGTGGTCCAAAGAGCTTCTAGGTTCTAACCAAGGTGCGTGTTTCTGTTCAAACACTTGGAGGCAGATCTCATTCTCTTACACACCCACTTCCTCCTTTGTTCACTTACTATCTTTCATCATTCCTTCATGAATTTGAGTTGCCAATCGCCATGACGAATGAATGAATTCTCACTCCTGGGCAAGTTGCTCATCCAGTCCCCAGGTAGCTAGGCTGCAGCTGGCTGCTTCTCACCCAGTGTATTCCCAGAGCCCATCACGAGTTCCAGAGGCTGAGCACATGAGCTTCAAATGCCTTTCCTATGTTCACAGATATCCAGGCCTTTTCATGTCAATTGCGTGTTTATTCCTCAGAGTCATGTATATGTCATGTGTGCCACATGTCAGTCTTATTTGCTCCTGTCTTTATAACAAAGCTGAAAATTACCAGTTGTAACTGATCAAGTTTCACCTAGTATTTTTTATTCCAGTGCTAATGGTTGAACCCAGGGCCTTGTACAGTTAGACAAAAAACACTACCATTGAGCTATATCCCAGCCCTTCAGATATTTCTACATCTGCCTATAAATTTCCAACACACATATTTCAAATATACAAAAGCAAGGCTTATTCCCTGGGAGAAAAAACTCGTGCAATGCTAAAGAACACAGAAGTTTGGGCTAGAGAGATGGTTCAGCATTTGGAGCACTGGCATCTCTTCCATAGGACCCAGGCAGGATCAGTTCCCAGCACCCACACTGTGGCTCTAACTACTGGAACCTGAGTTCCAGTGGATGATGCCCCCTCTGGCCTCCTAAGGTACTGCATACACAAGGGTACAGGTACACATGCAGATACGCAACACTAATATAGATTAAAAATAAAATCCTAAACCAGCAGTCATGGGGCACACCTTTAATCCCAGCACTTGGGGGGTGGAGGCAGAGGCAGGCAGATCTGAGGTTGAGGCTAGCCTGGTGTACAAGAGTTCTAGGACAGTAGGGGATACACAGAGAAACTGTCTAGAAGAAAAACAACCCCTATACCTAACCACCAGCACACTGCTCCCAGCAGCTCATATCCTTTTAGAATTGTTGGGGCAGGAATTGGGGACCTAACTCAGGGTCTAGGAAAGTTTGATATCACATTCCTCAGCCCTTCTTCCCCTCTTTAAATTTTGAGATAAGATCTCAACTAAGTCACCCAGGCTGACTTTAAAATAATCCTCCTGCCTCAGATTCTGTAATAGTTGAGACAATAGGACTGTACCACAGCATTTGGCTCTTCTATGTAGAGAAACACACACACACACACACACACACATCTTAAAATGTAATGGTGAAGTTTATTTACAAACCAAAGCTGCTCTGAACACACTTTTACTCCCAAGAGTAAATGACAGCTAGGATGCACAATCCTCCCAGGCAGGTGGTCAAAACCTTCAGTCACTATTGGAAGGAGTTGGCAGGAGCTTAGCCTCCAAACTGGTCAGAGATTAGTCAGTGAAACTTTAGCTTGGCTGTGGAGGTACAGTGGGGTCCTGTCGGAAAGGTGGCTTGGAGTCCAGGCAGTTCAGTCTCCTATCTCCCCTAGACACAGAAGTGCTTCTGTAGGACGGCAGAGCCAGCTGTCCAGTCAAGGTCTGCATTCCACTAGAATGATCTCTGCTTCCCATTGTAGGCACCCTCCACAGTCATTAGCTTCGGAGTTGGGACAGAGACCATGAATCGAGCTCAGCAGTTGGGGAGGGGACAGGGGGAGAAAAACAATAAATTAAATCAAAGATGAGAGTCATTCCAGAGTTATGAAGTCTTGGGCTTGATCCAAAAATTTTGTGGTGAGGTAGCTCAAAAGGCTGTGCTGTAAGTGCATCTCATTTGACCAGCAGGGTCCTCAGGCCTGAGGCTGTAGGGAGGAGGTGGTTCTTCAGGATTCAAGATGACCTGCCGGGGGAGTAAAGCATAGTCAGTTTGCTTCAGGCCTGGGTAAGGAAAGATGAACTTGGTTGGCAGCCCTCTCCAAACTGTTACTTCAACAAGTTGGATAGCCAGCTATGAAACAAATTAGGAACTGGGATAGAAAGACTTACCTCAACATAGGGTGGTGGGGGATCCAAGATGTTGACCCACATCATATCTATGGGAGCAATGGTAGGTGCTTCTGGAGGTATCTGAAGATTCCTTCTGAGGTTCTCCTCTGGCTCTCTGCACTTGAAACAGAAGTGCTTCACCAAGCTCCAGATGAACAACAGCGGTATCATGACCATGAAGACAATGAACAAGATCCTAGGAAGGGAATGATATCTCCCTGAGTGCCTATAACACTCTCCAACACCCACCCCCAGCCTATTTCAGCCTTCTGTGAATGGTATCCAGAAGGGATGACCCCAGGCTTACCTTAAATCGTCATCTGAAAAATTCCCTATGTTTTTCTTCTCCGGGCAGCATCCACTCTCACAGCATGTGAATCCCATGGGGCAGTTTCTATTCAGGTCAGACAGGGATGGGGAGACACCGATGCCACCGTAAGTATCAGAACAAAGGGTCTTTGCCTCCCCAGACACCTATACCCTCAGGTTTCTAGACAACCTTGGTGGGTGTGGGGTACACATCCATCCTGGGTGCTTTGGGAGGAACTGAGGAGTGAACTTGAGACCCAGGAGTTCAGGGTTCCTCTCGCAGAATGACCATGCTACTAAATCTTACAGGGTAGGCATGGGGCCCCCAGGTCAGAAAGGTAAGGGATTAACAGCAGCTACAGAACTGCAATGATGCAGTTCCCAATGTTGGGTGGTAGGAGAGGGGTATGGTTTCAGAAAAAGTAGGAAGAGTGAGGAGGAGGTATCTGCCCCCTTATCCAGGGCATATGTGACCACACCACCCTCCCTCCATTCCCTCCTAAGTCCCATACTTACAGGGTGTTGCATTTGATTATAACCTGTGGGAGAAAACAGACAGAGGTCAGAGCTTCAAAACTGGGAGTTGGGTCTCTGTTCTTAGAATAACTGCCCAGCACACACTAGGTGTTGGGTTCAATTTCCAGCAATGGCAATACTGGTGTGGGTAAACCAGAATAGTGGTACATGTCCACAGTCCCAGAACCCAAGAAAGCAGGAGAATCATTCAAGGCTATATAGATAGTTTGAGGGCAGACTGGATGCCAGAGAGGGGTTGCACAGATGGGTCATCAGAGGATGCTGGGGTCTAAGAATGGAAAGAGTGCCTTGAATCTGGGCTCATGTATGGCCTTGGGCAGAGAACTTCAATTCCAGTGAACCTTAACAGCCAGTGAACTGTCCTGAGGAGCAGGCTTGGGACTTTACCTCCTCCCCACAACGGATTCTTAACCAAGATTGTAAATTTGAAAGGCTTGTTCTGACCACCTCTCAGTTTGCAGGAAAACCTGCCAACCCAAGACATTTAAAAGAGTTTGGATATGAGGGACAAGAGCTTGGGGGCAACACTCAAAACGTTGCCTCCCTGAACCACCCAAGTCAGAAGCCACCCAGCTGGGGCCAGGCAGCCAGGTCTAGTCGGAGGACAGGCTGCAACGAATCAAAGAAGTCCAGAGAGCCTCCTCCTCCCTAGAACACATGAAGAGAAGCCCCAGAGAGAGCCGATGTACTCCCAAGTTCACCAGTCATGGAGGAACAGGGAAGGACAGAAGCCAAGCCCACACCAGCAAGACCTCAGATTCCTCAGCCTTACCATTGAGAAACTAAGTAAGAAATACAACAATAACGGAGGTCAAAGTTCCCATTCAGGGCCCTGGGTGGAGCCAGATACCACTAACAACACAACCCGGGCAAGACTAGGGGCCCAGGGTTCCAGAGCCTCCCTCTGAGGTGAGTTGTCTAAATCCACTTTGCCCAAGCAGAACAGAAAGGAATTTGAAAATTGCCAGTGGTTACAAGGAATTCCTGACAAGGTAATGCAGGGACTGGCTAGAAGGTAAATCTCTACCCGTATGGTCCTCCAAAAGATTCAGAAGGCTTGCTTACCTGGTTGGCGATTACTCGTTGGAGACTGGATAGCAGGCAGAGGAGCAAGGCGAGCACGCAGTCCAGGAACCTGGCAAAAGTCATTCTGGCACCCGGCATTCTGTTAGGGGGCTACTGAGTTTACGTGTGCAAGGAAGGAGTGACAGGGCACGACCTTTACAACTTCCCTCCACCTGTGTGGCCCAGCCTCAGAATGGGGACGAGGTTAGCACACCTGAGTTGGGGCAGACTAAGGCTTCGAGCTGGGAGCTCAGGTAGGGTAGAAGTGGAGAGGAGCTGAACTTGCTCGAGTCTGAGACACTGGGACTCGGGATGGGCTTATTTATGTAGTAAACCAGATGCACTATGGGAATCCTTCGTCTGATCCGCTTTTAAGTAGAGTAGGGTGTGGTTACACCAACCTTTAATCCCAGAACACTGAAAATCTCAGTGAGTTCAAAGCCAGTATAAAAGAGCCAGGTGGGTGGTGGCACACGCCTTTAATCCCAACACTCAGAAGGCAGATGCAGGCAGATCTCTGTGAGTTCAAGCCCAACCTGGTTTAGAGAGTGAGTTCCAGGGCAGCCAGGGCTACAGAGAAACCCTCTCTCAAAAAAACAAAAACAACAACAAAAAAAAATGAAAGAAAAAGAGAAGAACAAAGAGGGGGAGAGGCAAGGGGAAGAGAGACAATCTGGGAAGATGACTCAGGGGTTAAGAGCAATTGTCATTGGATCTGAGTTGGGTTTCCAGCATCTACATACATGATGGCTCTCCAGCAGGAGAGAACACCCACTTCTGAACTCTGAGGACACCAGGTATGCACTTTGTACAATACATATATCTAATAAATACATATATAAAATGAAATAACTAAAAAAAGTTTTTTTTTTTGGTTTTTTGAGACAGGGTTTCTCTGTAGGTTTGGAGACTGTCCTAGAACTCCAGGTTGACCTAGAACTCACAGAGATCTGCCTGCCTCTGACTCTTGTGTGCTAGGATTAAAGGCATGTACCATCATTGCCTGATGAAATAACTAGATCTTAAACAAAAACAAAAAACAGCAGGGCCAGTCAGATGATCCAATGGGAAAGGTGCTTACCACCAAACCTGAATTTTGAATTTTTGGGTTTTTTGTTTGTTTGTTTGTTTTTTTAGACAGGATTTCTTTTTGTTATTGTTGTTTTCTTTTGTTTTTTTATTTTGTTTTGTTTTTGTTTTGAGACAGGGTTTCTCTGTGGCTTTGGAGGATGTCCTGGAACTAGCTCTTGTAGAACAGCCTGGTCTCTAACTCACAGATATCTGCCTGCCTCTGCCTCTGAGTACTGGGATTAAAGGTGTGGGTCACCACCAGCTGGTAGGTAGATTTTTGTTGTTGTTGCTGCTGTTGTTAGATCAGGCTAACCAAGTGCTGGGATTAAAGGCGTGTGCCACCACTGCCAGACTGATAGGATTTCTTTATATAGACTTTGCTGTCCTGGAACTCACTACATAGACCAGGCTGTCCTCAAACTCACCGAGATCTGCCTACCTCTGCCTCTGAGTTCTGGATGTGGGTCACCAGCAGCTGATAGGTAGATATTTTTGGTTGTTGCTGTTGATTGTGTTTGTGGAGATAGAGTTTCTCTGTGTAGCCCTGGCTGTCCTGGAATTCTCTCTGTAGATCAGGCTAACCTTGAACTCAGAGATCCACTTGCCTCTGCCTCCCAGGGCTGGAATTAAAGATTTGAGAGAACAGCTCAAGACTGCTGAATTATTCCTTGTTACCTGTACCCCTTTATCTTACACAGAAGGAGGGGTGCTGTACCTGCCCAGAGATGACAGGCATGCAAAGGGAGGTAGGCAGAGATTTCAGAAAGACAGCCAAGGAACAAGCGGAATAGAGGTGGGGCTGTTGGGGTCCTGTAAACAGTGCATTTCTTTGTACTTTGTCCAAGAAGGTAGGAAAAGGCTGCTTGGGTTGGGAAAAAAGTCTAGCATAGCATCCCCATTATTGAGACAATTAATATCCCTTCCCCTTTGCAACTTTTTGGGGAGTTACTGGTTCATTTCCTTTCTGGTTAAAGAAAAACTGAGACTAAAGGCATATTTAGGAAACTGAGGTTAAGGACTTGTCCACTGTGGTCAAAAAGGCGCCATCAAGCAGCAGGAGGAGGTCACGTGGGATTCCTGATAGGAATTAGGATAAATATCTGTGGTTATCTGGACTATAACGTTCAGTATTTCATTCTAAGACTAGTGAAGCTTCCATATTCACTCTAATTGCTGAGTGCATCTATTTCCTTGTGTGAAAAAAAATGAAGCAGACGTAAGTATAATAATGAACTTTTAAGAAAATTATGATTGCATTTGAGAAATGATAGGACAAGTATTTAATGTTCCTTCATTAATTTCCTCTTCAATATAGTATTCTACTATTGCTTCACATGGTTGTTTCAATAAATTAAAGGGAATGTAATCACAACTCTGAAAATTGAGAAACAAAATTTCTCTTTCTCATTTTTAATTTGGATAGTTTAGGTAAATAGAAAATACAAATTTCACATGATATGTATTCTTTTATCTTCATATCTTTTGTAATCATATAGTTTTGGAAAACATACACAAGCAACAAAAACAGATTCAGCAGTTTGTATTCATATATTTGTATACACTCATGCAATACACATATGTAACAGTAATAATAATAAGTAGGCTTTAAAATTGAGACCGGGGGACCATGATAGTGGCTAGAAGGAAGAAAAGGGAGATAAAATCTACGCAGTTAAGTTTTAATGAAACAATGTTTTCTAACTAATAAAATAAAACCTAAGATACAAGTAAATCAAACAGGAAATATTTGTGAATAATTGGATTATTTTCCAGCTAATGAATGTCTCAGATATTAAAACTTAACTTACTTTCGTTTTTAAATATCAGTCCTATATAGGCTCTGTGATTGTAGCTTCACTCTCTGTGAGCCCCTATGAGCCATACTTAGATGATTCAGTGGGCCAAGTTCTCACGAAGTACTTTACCTGGATTGCCACTAGGCACGTGTGGAAAATGCAGAGTCCTAATGTAGCTTGTTGTGTTGTAGACAGGTGCTTTCCCGGTTATGCCTGCCATTTTCTGAAGGGAAAAGGAGACTTCAAGATGGGAGCTCAAAATAAAATTGCAGCAGTCAATCACATCTCTTCTCAAAGACAAGTAAAAAACAGCGTTTTTCTGCTTATAAAATTTGAAATGCAGACTTCCAGGGGGGGACAAACAGCATTTATTTTCATGAATGGTGAGTTATAGGTGATTTAGATAATTAAAAATATTCCTCATCCGTCTTCCAGAAAGCTGAATGTTATAGTAACATGGTACTCATTGAGAGAGTACTCTTTAGTGCTTCCAGATTTTCTTTGGTAAACTCTTGCATCCAAAAATTGGCAGTGTGACGTACTTTAGTGAAGAGGAATGCGTTGTTTACTCCCTGAATATGTCTGGAAGATAGTCTCATTCTCTATGTGCAGAGGTTTGCTCTTTAAGTCAACAGCAGGCTATGTAGGTCATAAGGTACCTCTCGGAAGTGTGTCTTGCCTTCTATTTCTACCTCTAATTGTTGACTTGGGTGGTCTCAGATGCTTCAGTCCAGTTTTCTAAAGTCAAATGACACCAAGGGATACAAATGAGACCTAGTGAGTGTTAGGTCAAGTGACACTAGGGAATACAGATGAGACTCGGTGAGTATGAGAAGCTAACTAAAGCTCATCCAAATGAACAATGCATTTGCCACTGTAAACATCTGTTTCTCCATCAGAAAAAATTCATCCACACAATCACAGTCATTTGCATTTCTAGGGACTTCAGAGACTTCACTTAATTAAGGTACCAAATAGTGTCTGAGAGAACATGGTCTTTGGAGACTTCAGCCCTCCAATCCCTTTACTAGTTTGCCGAGTGCTAGAGACTTTTTTTTATGTTGGGAAGACAGATGTGGGATGAGGTTGTGGCAGTGTTATATTTTTGAATAGTTGTTACCCTGAGAATTTCCACATTAAAGGGCAACACTGTCACAAAGGAAGACTGTGACCATAGATGGACTCATGGAATTTCCCTATGAGAGAGAAATGAGGTTCTGAAGGAATGTGACCCAGCATAGCCTGGTTATCCTAAATTCTGCTTTCAGGACAGTGAATATGGAAAGACCTTTTTCTCACTCATGTTCATTTGTTTGCACAAACCTTAGAGTTTTCCAGCTCCTGGGCTATCAATCACCAAATGTTTGGCACAACTCTTTTATGCCTGGCATGAACCCTGGAGAGGTCATGGAATTCTACATCCACCAGTCTTATTGCCACTTCGAATTTGAGAGAATGAGCCGCAAGACTCTTGTCTAAAGAGGCTGGTAATTTAGACATAAAAAATTATAAACAACCTGTTTTTCACACATCAGTTTAGATCTGCACCTTTCCAATGAAAGTGAATGATGGGCTAGGAACTGGCTAGCATCATGTTTTAATATCAAAATCAAAATCCTCCGGATTTCACCAGTGATGCAAAACTTTTTCATGTGTAAAACTTTTTTTAACATAGAACATATTTAGAGGACACTGAGAAACATGGAGGACCAAACCTAGGCACTCTAAGAACATTAACAGAGTAGGGGCTCTTCCAACACTGTTGTGTGCAAATTCCTGAAATCAAGTCTCTATAATATTAGAACAGAGAACCACCAACATTATGAGCATGAGCTGTACTTATAGCTGCTCACACGTATCCAGCCTCAAGAGAAGGTGTGTGCACCCATATGGATATTTTAAATAATTACATGTTGAAAAGAGGTAACATTTTAAAATTATATTTAGATTAACTGAAGATTTTGCATGCCCTAGATCTGATGTTTTAATTCCACTCTCCATCAAGTGTCCCTAGAGATGTGCTGACTTGTCAAGGGAGTAAGAAATATCAAAGTCATTGACATGGGAATTCAGATTCTATTATCTTGTACACCTTAGCCTTTCCAAAATGGCATTTATTCACAGAAAGCAAGGCTCTGTTTGATTAGCCTACATTAAATATAAAATGTAAGAAGAGAGATGGGAGGCTCAACCTTTGGTGGGCTGCTGGTGTCAGAGACACAGGAAGTACCT